TGAAAATATCACCTGAAATTTCAACTCATCATACCAAAACAATCTTAGCTATGGTCTTCAAGTGGATTAGATAACATAGATATTAAAAAAATATTTATAATCTTTTATAACTTAAATTATAAAGAATTTTTTATACAATTCTGAATTCCTTAAATAAATTAAATAAAGGCAAATTAATATAATAGTTTCATGATTTAATATAAAATGTTGTTAATATAAAGTATTACAATATATACAGCATGTTTGACATGAAAATTAGTTATGTAAAAAATGGAATATAAGGTGTTTAACATTTCTGCGGTAAAATTGAATACATGTATATTAGCATTTCATATAAGCAACATAATGTATGTGTATTTACAAGTTAATTGTGCACATAGCAAACCTAGTTATTATTTACATTTAATTTTAGTGATTATTTAATATTGTAAGAGCAGTGTGCCGTCAACGAAATTAATTCATCAAGAAGATAATAAAACAATATTGATACTAAATTAATATACAAATATACAACTCATGAAAATGTAAGGGATTGCTTTTTCGTATTTTCTTAACTTACATTTAAGTACTATATTACATAAAGTACCATCGCAAATACTAGGTCACTATAATAATTATTTTATCGAATACTTGTCATTACTTGACATTTTATTCTTAACGGAACCAATTATAATACTTTACAACAACAAATAATGGACCTTTGGTAATACAGATTTCATTGCATTTAAAACTTAAGAGTATTAGTTTATTATTGTAATGTGAAAATGCCATGAAACTGTAAGAGTAAGTAACATTAAGTAATATGGCACATTATGAAATATTTCATCATCATCATCATTCATCATTACAGCCCATCATAAGTCCACAGCTGAACATAGGCCTCCCCCAAGGAATGCCACAAAGCACGGTCCTGAGCCACCTGCATCCATCGACTTCCTGCATGTCTTACCAGGTCGTCACTCCATCTAGTGGGGGGACGCCCTACACTTCGTCCGCCGGTACGAGGCCGCCACTCGAGAACCTTTTTTCCCCATCGGTTGTCGGTTCTTCGAGCTATATGGTCGGCCCATTGCCACTTCAGCTTACTAATCCCTTGGACTATGTCGGTCACTCTGGTTCTACTGCGGATATCCTCATTTCTAAGTTTATCACGCAGAGAAACCTGGAGCATGAAATATTTAACTCTGCATTATTTAAAAATCCATAGATGATTATATTTTTGCATTTTGTTATTCTAACTTTTTGAAAACTATATGATGTAATAAATAATTTTTAATACTTAAAGTATATTTGAAGAATTTTAATTTTTTTTGGTATTTATGCAAAATCCAGATGATTTATAAAATTTTTGTAAACTTACATGTTATTTTTTATTCATTTTAGGCTTTTGAATAACACTCAATGATATAAAGTATACTAAAATTGTTGTACATATAGAAACAAATAATGATATTAAAATGGAACTAAATATTAATTTAAGGTTTTGTATAAATAGGCGACATTACCGTTTAATACTACCCATTAAATTGTATAAATTCATATTAAAAACCCATTAAACAAAAACTTCCCACTAATAAGTTAAAATATTCTGCTACATGATTGTGTTAAAGCCCACTGTCTTAGAATTTGTGACATTTGTACATTATCTTATTGAAAGAGACAAATTGAGCATTTAAATTAATGAGATGAGAATATTTAAGTATTACATATATTCTTGGGACAGTAATATTTAAAAGAGTTATTGATGTGTGTAGCTTTGGCACCAAATAGTAAATGCTCAGCTTTATAAAGATATAAAGAAATCTTTAAAATGTTGCCTTAAATAATAATGAGATCGTAAAAGAATTTGAATCATGGCAATCCTAATTTGGTGTGTATGTGCTATACTAATTTAGCTAGAATGTTTATATAATTACAAACATTAATACAAATTTATTAATTTAAATAAATTTATACCTGGTTTCTGTACGTACGTTTCTTTTTCTCCTTTGAACCGTTCAAAAGTTGAACAATTTACGGGTCTTAAAATTTTATTTTTACTTCAAATCCTCTTAAGTGGTTAAGGCTGGGTGTTCCTGTTTTTGTCCGTTTAAAATTTGGTTTTTGATAGACAAATTATTACATCTAGAGTTTGAAAAAAAAATATTTTAGATACCTTCTCAAAACACGACACAATACAATTTTCTCGATAGAAAAAAATGCCGAACTACGTTCGATTTGCAGTTTTTTTTTACAAGCCAAATTTCATTTTAAACAAGTACTAATACTCCTTTTTTTCTATAAACAATATCAATTTATAGGTAATTTATTCTATCCGATCGTTATATCATTACATTTATTAAAAAAAATTATCGATTATTCAAGTAATTCTCGACCCGCACGTCGCTTGCCAATGTCCCGCGGGACGTTGCCGAGGTAAGATCTGTGCCAAATTTTTGCGCGCGTGCTTTCCTTCTGCTACGTAAATAATATTTAGGAAACAAAATAAATTGTAAATAACTATAGTTTTATGGAACTTACATAGACTATAGTTAAGCTTTTTGTTTGTATGTTTATTTCTCATTGTGTAAATATTTTGTTTATAACTTTAAAACAATATTTTTGTGATTATTTTGTAAAAGTCACGATCATATGAAGGCCCGACTCGATCTTAGAGAAGACTTCGTGTAAATACCTATTGCGCTTGGAACACCCGGCCTTGAAGGAAAATAATTCCTGAATAAAAATACATATGTAATAAAATCGTTATGGAGAACGAACAATTTCTTGAATGTGGGAATAAGATACTACACATAAAAGATATTCTTTATGCTTAACACTGTTCCATTAAAAATTTATTATAGACCTATTAGAAAGTAAATACTTTTCATTACTGTTTCATTCTGCTGCACTTACTTTTATTGCAATTAATGATGCAGACAAATACTAAGTGTGCATTGTCACTGCATTTTTAAATTTATTATGATTTACTTAAAGCTTTAATGTGGTTGAATTGATCTACTTATTTTAAGGTGATTTATTGAATTTTTCAAAGTAGTCAAAATGATATGAATTGATTTTTAATAGTAAGACGCGTTAAACGGAATCCGACATGTGTGTCTGTTTGAATGTACGCGTGCCATGAGATCTATTGGAGGTAAAGTGTAATCATCTTTATCGTAGTGTAATTTCCGATAAAATTAGCTTCTCAGACACATAAATCATCATGTATTGTTGTTATTTTAATATCTTTAAGTACTTATTATTCAAGTAATGCGTTAGATTGGGTGGGTTCGAATTCGGGCCTTATATTTGCACTTTCACTTCATTAAAGTTAGTAGAGTAATAGGTATATTCAAGTGCTGGGATCTTTGCAATGAGAGTTAATAACTTTCCGCTCACCAGATGTCGCTAGTTGGGACTGAGGTGAACTTATTTCACTTTCAGACAGTTCATTCATCATTGAAAAGCGTTATTTGCGCATTGCGTTTAAAAAAAGATTTTTATTTCTAATTTACGTATATGTTACGGTTCCACCTAGTTCTAGCCAGCTAGAACTAGGTGGAACTAGGTAACCCCACTTCGGCTTTTACGGTACGTGTACAAAACCGATTTTGTCGGCCGATGGCGGACAGAACCACCCGGACGAGTTACTCGGACGTGTATGTGCTTACACTGCAACAGTGTACCACGTGTGCCGACATTGGACGTTGCCGGTATTCTGTAGTTGTCTATGTTGCTTAACAGAGTGATCGTCATCGTCCGATAACGCACGAAAACGGCCGATCAACCATTGAGTCCGAACTTGTTGGGATTTCTTGCCAGATTGCCCCGGCGTCTACAGTGCAAATGGAGTGTATTTATAGTTTAATTTAATCATTCTGTCTTTAGTCTGTTGTTTCTGTCAGTGATGTTATCTACCTAAACGACTATGGATATTGAAAAATTAATTAATTGTGTTTATAATAGACAATTACAATAATCGAGAGGTTTCGAAACGGTTATGGGCTGAAGTTGGTTCGGAAATGGATATAGCGGTTCCAGATATTTAAAAAAATGCGTCTTCACTCTGTTAAGCAACACAGTCAACTACAGAATACCGGCAACGTCCAATGTCGGCACACGTGGTACACTGTTGCAGTGTAAGCACATACACGTGCGAGTAACTCGTCCGGGTAGTTCTGTCCGCCATCGGCCGACAAAATTGGTTTTGGTGTACACGTACCGTTAGTTTTATAGGTTACAGGTGGTCGTCGGACAGGTAGCGCGCGGCGGTATTGGGCTTTAATAACTTTGAGACAAGTCACTTAGATATATGTTATTTAGAATACACATCATATGCATGAAAATGAATGATGAATTACAGCTTATTTTCAAGTGATGAAAACAATCTAAATGTATGGTGCTAAAATAAATTGAGGATAACTTTGTAGGTTTGAACCAGAGTAATACAAATCTTCTGTATTCTGATAATTTATGTTAATTTGAGATGATCACGCGTTGATTCGCGTCGCGTCGTCGACTTTGAACATTATTGTAAATGGTATAGAGCTGTTAATTCTTTGATACATTATGCAAAGACAGCAAATTTCTAATGACTTTTGGGAGATAACTTGTGGATATTGATTGCATGATGTATTATCTTGGTATGGTCATGCGGTTGTTGCATTTTGAAAATTGTTTAGTGAATAGAGTGCACTTTAAACTTTACTATCGATGTTATAAAGCACACAGTTCTTCAGTAGCACAACATTACATTATTGTCAATTACATTTAGAGTGCAAACTTTTTTAATAGCACTGATGAGCAATTTATATGGTCAACACGGATTTTAAGCGTTTTTTGTTGAGTTGCACACTCTTTCGGAGAGTGAGGCGGCAGGACTACTACCGATCCATTCTCGACGCGGTCAATGCACTTTAAACGTTATTATCAACCGGATAGAGCACACAGTTCAGTTCTTAGGATAAAATGAGCAATTCACTAAGTCACATGACACTTTGGGCACTATTCGTAAGCACTTAGAGCACACTTTCACGTTGTGGCTGTTCTTCGGGGCTGGGTGGGCTTGGCGGATCCGAAGGTGAAGCGGCGGTACGTGTAATTGCAGGCGGGCGGCCGATGTGAGCACCCATAGTGATGGGCGTGTCATCTGGGTCCTCATCCTCTCCTTCTTCGAGATCCTCGTCGATCGGGGTCAGAACGTCCATTGGCTGCTGGATCTCTTCTTGTTTCCTGAGAAAGAATAAACTGTTGAGTACAACTGAAGATTGAGAAGACCTTTATTTATAGAGTTCATTCTGCTAAACAAAGACCTTCTCCATACATTGCCGTATAGGTGGGATTGTTATCAGGATGATATTGGTATCCATATCCCGTTTCATTTTCCTTTGTCATCTCTAACGACACCCGCAGGATGATATAGGGTAGTGAATTCTCTTAATATTGCAACACTACGCGGCTTTATTAGATTTTTATAGAGTAACAATCCTATATGTAATGAGCCCATAAACAGTCCATGGATAGACATTTCTCCTGTAGTAGGGAGAATTGTTTTTTTATATAGGATAAAGGTGACAAACGAGCACACAGTCCTCCTGATGGTAAGTAGATTTAGTGGTCCACAGACATCTGCATCTTTCCGCGATTAAGAATCAAAAGCTTCTTCTGCCATACCCAACTTTCACTCTTATACATTAACATTGGGACTAACACAGCATATATGGATATTCACAATTGTCATACATGCCTTTTTTGACACATTCTGACTTACATAATAGAGTAAAGAGCCCCATTAACTTGTCCTGTATTCACTCTTCGTTCTATATTCTTATCATGTCTACTATCTGCTTAACACTTAGCCTAAATACGCAAACTCATCCACTTTGCTCAACCAGCTCTCCTTCTATTTTTATTTCACAAACCGTCTTACTTCCTTCTCTTTCTAAAACCGTCACTTTTGTTTTCCTTGCGATCACTTCCATTTTTCTTTCTTTTAATGATTTTCATTTCCTTTAATTAATGTAACTATCATTTGCAACTGTGACTTAATTGTTGGCGTTCAAGATGCATTCGTTTATATGTTTACAACATTATAATTTTCAAATAAAGCAATTATTAACAAGGTACTTAATAAGTTGTGCGTGATATACTTACTTGCGGAACATGGGAGCAGCGAAGGAGGAGATAGTGGAAGCCAAGAAGAATCCAGCAGCCATATAGAAAGAAGCGTCGTAGTTTTTGGTCATATCGTAAACAGCACCGGCAAGTGGGGACCCTATTATAGCAGCTGCTCCACGGAACAGGATAAGCAGGCCGAAGGCGTTCGTCAGTTTGTCCAGCCCGAGGAGATCCACGAGGATAATTGATGTTAGGGAGATGTAGCCGGCTGAAATTATTTCACTTTAATGAGACAATGATTTGTTAATTACTAGCTGCTGTTAGGCGTTGTTCTGTCGCCGTAGGTGGCACATGATTTTTCTCTTCGAACTCACTTTGGACTTTTTACAGTATTGATGTAAAATTTATTTAGAACCACATATTAGGGCGAGATTATGTGATACTCTATTTGGCACTAAGCCATCATGACATGTTATGAATAATTTGGTCTATAAATATAATATTAACTAATAACTTTAGCGCCAACGATTGAATCCTATCATATCTCATCTGAAGTTGTTCAGAAGTCACACGATAAACTACACACTGACGATTATGCATGTTATGAACCAAGTGATTAATCAGCGCACTATTTATAAGTAATAAACCCTACAGTCCTACGGTCCCGCCCACGGTCGGAGAAGGACGACTTCTGACGTTATAAATCAGTGCCGATTTTTGGAATTTCCCATCTCTGTTGTGCTCATGCGTGTAAATTTACGTTCAAGTGAACGTATCATAATTTTTACAGTCCAAATGGCCTCCAAGAGTATGTGGCCTTCGAAAAGTATTTTATTGAAATTATTTTAAAGAGATTAAAAACCAGCTTCGGTAGTTATTTATGTAAGTACCTACGCAATTACGTGTAAATGTTCGCGATTATTTTTAAACTTAATGGCTGTCATTAAACAATATTTTGACATTAGATTGAAATATCTTGTACGTAAAACTGCAATCAAGCAATCAAAACCACAATTATATATAATATGGTTTTTAAGGGGGAGTAACTTTATTAGATTTTTTAAATTCGTACCTACGTTTTATTGTGCTAAAACATACCTTATAAATATCGTTTACCTAATATTTACAAATACTTACATAATTAATTAATAACTTAAGTACAATAACGCATAGGCGTCAATCTTGGCGCATCACTATCCACTCTAATTATGTATCAGTATCTATGGAACATCTGGTTACGCTTGGGATAGTGGGCAATGAGCGATACGCGAGTTCTATACCTTGCTTATTTGTACTCGAAGTTCTGAACACTCTTATCTATTGTTCTAAGGGGTTCCTTCTAAATATTAGTATACTCTTTGGCGGGGTCTAAAAAAAACAAATTGAAGACCAATTGGTCATGCCAATGCTTCATAGATTAAGGATGTAAAGTGATACATATTACACCATTATGAAATCTGGGATAAAGGGGCCATCTTTTGAAATAACTTGCCTAGGATCTGAGTGATCTTATTTTTCAACTACGACTAAAAGAAACTACTTTAACTAACCTAGCAACCTTTTTTTTGCTTGATTTTTGCAGCACTGTCCCGAAGCCACAATAAAATCATTGATAATACTTACAGATAGCTATACCAAAAGCGACTGCAACTGCTACGTAAGCGGCGTAAGAGTAACAGAATGGCGTCACGGCAACCGATACCTGTAAAAAAAATAACGTTAGTAATTCATTCGTGGGACAATGAATATGATAACTTCCAGAAAATATACAAGGTCTTTCTATTACAAAGTTTAATAAAAAAAAGTGATATCATAATAACCCCTGGGACTGGGATTAAGGTGACTGCTTCCAAGCTGTTTAATAAATGAGTTTGTAAATAATTGTACATCCTATTTTATATTGTATAATGTGACTGTGGGTGGAAAAACTATTCCTTGATTGTGAGATGTCTTCACATCAGATATCACTTCACATAGGAAACAACCTCCTGTTAATCACTTCTGATTAACAGGAGGTTGTTTCCTAACCAGTGGTAAAAGCAAAAAAATATTTCCAATATGTATTATTCAAAATCTAAAATATTCTATTATATTCTATAGTAAATTAGTTATTTACAAATGTCTATGCAAATATTATATAAAATATGTGAAATTTTGAGAATATGTTCAGATAATTATTGGATGAAAGTGCCACTTTACTTGTACTTCACTTTACATAAGTCCATGTCCTGGATTCATTTATTCTCGGCTCGACCAGGAGTTATAGAACGTAGTGTCCCTGGGCCGCAGCGTTCACTTGCCAATAGATAGACTGTGGGCTTGTTTGCACCCTCTTATATAAATATCTATACTAAAAGTGATACTAGATACAAGTAGAAACGAACAGGATTAGGATTTAATACTGACCGTAGCAATAACGAGACATATATTGTTGAGAAGAAGCGCATCAACACGTGGCAGATCGGCTACAGCGCCGCATGCGATACGACCGAACGTGTTCGTGATCCCGATTATAGATAGCAGGAACGACGCTTGCGAAGGATCCACTCCCTAAAATCATAAAATAATATCAGTTTTCTTCGCGTTTTACGAAATTAAAGGCGAGCTTGTATTCAGAGCTACCATTGCTCGATATAATGTATGATATTTGTTTTTGCTCTCTGTATTTATTATTTATTAACTTTTATTGGCTGATGGAGAAGATAAAGAGAAATAACTATAAGCCGAGCAAAAAAGTTTATGAAACTTATTTAACTCTATATGAAATATAGACATATGCATTATATGTCATAATGCATATGTCAAAATAGTATGATGTCAACCTTACAAATTTTAACTAATTTGTCAATTTAAAATTTCAAACATCAACAACAATTCGCTTGAGGTGACCGTTACGGCAGAATTTGATAAATTAATTTATGTCATAAAAACATTTTTCAATCAGAATCCCGAACATATATTTTTTTTTAAAGATTAAATATCAAGTTTTGAATATGGTTCGGAAGTAAATTAAATAGTCGAACGCACACGCTGTAACTATTTCTAGCAAAACAAGTTGTGGCTGCCTGGGGCACAGGTATCTTCTTGTACCACCACGATCATTATGTTGTTTTGTGAAAAGGTTAGCATTTTTTTGGTCAATATTAAAATTTCGTATATATAACGGGAATGAATAAAACTATGAAATTTTAATAATGAATTAAAGAGTTTAAATAATATCAATTCTAATGTTTTATCTTAATTTCATTAATATTAATTTAGCCATAAAATTACTTAAGAATTTAGGATTATTTATTATTGTTGTATTTCTTTTAATTAACCAATCAAAAGCCAGAGGTTCATGGCTTGATTAATACGGTGATCATAACAACCAATCAGAGCGAGGTTAGCTGGTGAAACGCCTCGAGCGGAGTCGTGGTGCGACTGGATGAAAACAAAGACAAAAGAGGAGCGGATAGAATCGGCGTGGGGTACAGTTTTGTTTTTCTGTTTGGTGTGTGATGGTGATGTCTGTGTCGCATTACGAACTCGCTGCTCTTTTATTAATTTTAATATTCTTTAATAAAATTTAGTTAGTGTTATTTTCTGTAAAGTTTAATTTAAATTTAAATTAGTAAAAGTATAAACAAGTTTATTATTCGTGTTGTGTGTTGTGCTTGTATTTAGCCAAAATGTCGCCCACAAGACCTGTTTATAATAATGGCTTCATTGAATGCGACTTTTCTTCAACATATATATATATATATATATATATATATATATATATATATATATATATATATATATATATATATATATATATATATATATATATAAGAAATGTAATATAAGAATTTTTAATTTTTAAAGAGGTCTACATGATTCCACTGCATGTAGATCGTAAACGTATTGCAAAATAACCCGGTATAATGTGTAAGATTCCATAATAACAATTTTTAAATGTATAATGATATTGCATTGAACCTGTCAGATAAGTTTAAAGGTTTTAGAATAGATATTATACTACCATATAATTAAAAAAAAAAAACGTATTCGTGCCAATTTGTGCGCATGGTCGCTTACAATTGTTCGTTCTTTTAGTACGCAATATGCTACAACGTTTACGTACACATCTAACCACAAGTTATGAATTGCAAGGACTATAATATGTACTTACATTAAGGCAGGCCGCGTCGACGATATAAACAAAAGGCACATAGAGGCCCGCCATTCCGAAAAAGCTGGAGAGACCGATGAGCATGAAAGCGGGATCGCGTAACAAACTGACGTCTAACATAGAAGATAGCACTGATTTGAACGACTCCGGCAGCGTCAGACAAGGACATAGGTCGTATTCTGAAATAAATAATACTCGTATAGGATAATCGTACAAGCCAGTAAGGTCCAACAGAAAAATCTTTATATTCATTTTAGTAGAGACTGCAGCGGAGACCCGGAATAAGAAGAAGTTGCGGCCGAAAATTAACTAAAGTTACTGCCTGTATACGCCCCACTATTGGGCACAGTTCTGCTCTCATTTCTGGGAGGAAGTGTCCACCGCGCTGCCCCAATTTATGTCAAAAGGGTCTCCAGTTCTCTACATTCACCATATGAAACACATTTGCATGCTGCTATTTCACGTTGTTATTCTGAAGTCCGTGGTCCTTCCCTGGTCGAACCTACCGATTCGGGCTACAACCATAATATAACTGTAGCGTGGCTTTACCATGTGAAAAAGATAACGCAACTTTATTTAAATTCCTAATAGATATGTAGTCGTCTATGGGCCTTTTTCACTTACCATTAAGTGAACTGTGTGCACGTTTGGTAACTCTTCTATTAAAAAGTTCTAGAGTTAAAAAAAAACAGCTTGCCTTTCAAACAACTGTTTTCGAAAATAATAAAACGAAACTTATTACAGGTTTTCAACAAGTTTTTAACAATTCTTTTAACCTTATTATATGGTTTACTTACGTTCCTGTCGGTCCAAGTCGCCTGCCTGTCTGCTCTGCGGCAAGCTGAGGACAGAGTTCCTATATCCCTGTAGCGACTTCTGGCTCTGGTATTGAGGTAGGTTGAGCACAGAGCCCGAGTAGAAGATGTCCTTCCGAGACATCGGACGGACCATTCTCGACGGCTCCCTGGCCGCAGACACGGACAGTTTCGAGTTGTACACACCGCTTTCTGCGTCGCCCTACCAGGAATACAACGATATAGTTATTTTAGAGGAAATTTGTCACTTACGATGTTTTTGTTTATTAGAATCGGCTGATCTCGTACATTGATCATTTTTAGCTGCATCACCACTTACTATTAAGTGGGATAGTCGTCAAGCACTACCTTATAATAGTAAAATAAAAGAATGACCGTGTCGTCTATTTCGTTAGCGAAAGAGCTGAAGATTTTTAACCGACTTCAAAAAGCAGGTGGTTCTCAATTCGAGTATATATTTTTTTTGTATGTATGTTAGGCGATATCTACGCAGATTTTGAACTGATTTTAATGATTCTTTTTTTATTAAGTAGGCTTTACCTCAAGGGTGGTCCCATTAAATTTTGATGAAAAAATTCTGTCTCAAAGGGTGGTAAATATGGGAAAAAGTTTCATATTGGACTATTGTACTTACAGAATTGCATATATATTCGCAAATTGAGAAACAATTTTAAAGATTCTTTTTTTATTAAATAGGTAATACTTAGCTAATACTTCAAGGGTGGTTCCATATAAATTTGGAGAAAAGATACTATTATTTGCTACCTAAGGGTAGCAAATAAATATTTGTTTTTAGCAATTTGAATTCGGTCTTACTTTTTGTTGATAGTTATAATAATTATAGAACAAGGAGAAACGTAACAAACGATTACATAATCCACTAAATGGTAAGTGGATTTTGTGGTTCATAGCAACTATATAATATATAAAACAAAATATTTTCTTCTATCTTAATAAATAGTCTTCTATTTACTTATTATAAGTCAGTTAAAAGAAAAGTTACAGCCTATATACGTCCCACCGTTGGGCACAGGCCTCGCATTTCTGAAAGGGTTTTCGGGATAAGGAATTGTCCGCCGTAGTGCCCCAATGCGTATTGGCGAACTTCACGCCTTCGAAATTTTTTTTCTTATTTCTCAGACATGCAGGTTTCTTCACAATGTTTTTCCTTCACCGCCGAGCACGTGGTAAATCAGTACTTAAAATTGCAATTAACAATTTCATTGGTGCCGGCGGGGATCGAGAACCCGGGTTGCTCTCGTACTGTGAAATTTACAGCGAGCGCTAACCATCTGAGCTACCACCCTTATTATAAGCGCTTATAAGTTAGTGCTGGACTACAATTCCACCTCGCGGTAAGTGACGATGAATCACAAGATGGTTAATTGCACTGTTTTAGCGTAACAAAGGTTTATCGTTTGACCACGGTGCTCAAATCCCGCACGGAACAGGTGTTTGTATGGCTTACAAATAATTGCTCCGGGTCTGGATGTTTGTCCTTGTGGAATTTACGTAAATAACTTTTTTATAACACCCAGATTAATCGGACGGAAAAACAGTCACTGTCTTTCTGCCCGATTATGCCACAGTCAATGTAACAAATAAGGTATAAACTTACGTCAGGTGCGTTTTTGTGTTGGCTGTACATAGAAGTTTTGGATGAGGCTTTAATAGCAGCTAGGGACGGTTTAAATCTGAAAACGGTAAAACAAATTAAGTGTTAAGCGACAAAGTGTTTATTTGCGGCACTGTGAACCACTGGTTCAAATCCCGTACAGTACAAGTGTTTATATGGTCTACAAATAATTATTCCTGATCAGGATGTTTGACTATGTACAATATATGTATGTTAAACGCCTCTACGATACAGGAAGAAATCCTAAGCTTGGGGTAACGTTCATAAAAGGCCTTTCTTTTCATTAACATTAAAAAAAAATGGAAAGCGAGTTTTTTGAAATTAATAAAGGCCGACTCAAATAAACACTAATATTAGATGAAACATCAAAATTCTAGTGTCTGTAGTATATTGTTTGCTTAAATCATCATTATCACCAGCCTTGTCCAAGAATATGACAGGAAATGCGATGCGTCACTTGGAAGTTTTGACTTTACATTACGGGTCGGTGACGGTGGAGTCTTATAACTTTGCCAAAACGCCCTTCTTATATCCCGCAAGAGAGCGTCTCGGTTTGTGAGTACCGTCGTAAGGCGATGCCGCGCGCTGATTGGTCGGCGACATCGCGTGATTTGCTGCCGGTGTGCGGGGTGCGCGGGGCGTAACGGGGTGTGAAGGGGCGACGGGCTCCTTCGCCGTCCGCTACAATAATGTTGTTTCCCTATCACTACTCTAAGAAATTTGTGCGTTTGGCATTTTCTTTAAACAGATTTTTCATTACCCCTTCTCTAGACTAGCACTCGAGAACCTTTCTTTGCCGTAGATTGCGCGTTCTTCGAGTATAGTATGTGCATTGCCACTTCAGCTTTAGTGATCAGAAGCGGATTATCATTGAGAACAACTAGACACGTATCTAGGGGCACGAGGCTACAAAGAGGCGCGCGTCAAACTTTTTAAACGAAAAAATTTGCTATAGAGATTGCTCCTACATGACTCTCACTTTCTCATCACGTTTTTTCATTCATGCCTATATGTTTACGTGTCCTAATTATTTTGCAACTAAATATATTATAATTATACCTATTATAGTTTATTTGCAAAATAACTAGTTATAATTTATACCTAATAATATATGGCCTCCAGAGAGGCGCCGATGAGGTGCTAACTAGGGCGCTGTCAACATTTAATCCGCCCCTGTTAGTAATCCTTTAGGCTATATCGGGTTGTCTGATTCTACTAGGGATATCTTCATTATGGATTCGATTACACGAGAATAACCTTATAATATAGCCAAAATAAACCATAAAACCAGAAGTCAAAAGTCTTAGGTTTTATTATGAAATGTTCCTCAACCTATTTGTATAAGATTTTGTCTAAATGTTAGCTAAATTTATTTCTGTTTAGAACTCATCGGCCCCAGTAACTGTTTCATGAAGCCAATGGAATAAAAAAATAAATAAAACGTTGCTTATAAAATTAAATAACTGGTGTGACTACCAGGCACGGAAAAACTTATCAATAAATAACCGTAAAAATACTTCTGCCAGAGATGTAGAGTCAAATCTTCGGCACCTGTTTAGGATTTTTGATTGAGAAATCTATCAATAACTTGAAAGATAATGATTGTAGTTAAGAATGCCACGGATCAGTAAGCTGACGTGGCAATGGGCCAGCCATGTAGCTCAAAGAACCGACTATCGATGTGGAAGAAATATTCTCGAATGGCAGCCTCATACCGGTAAGTGAGGGGGGGGGGGGGGGTTATACAGTGAGGGTAATAGCGTTGTCAACCCTAACCACTAAGATGGAATGCAATGATACTAGAAAAACGGCTCTCCTGTTCTACACTTACTATACGAAACACTGTAGCTTTATGCTTCTATGTTACCCTGGTATTTTGTGCAAGCGTGATTCTTCCTCAGTCAAGACGACCCATTAGGGCAGCCATACCACGAATGCAGTATGGCTCTACCACATAGTGTCATACATCGTCGAGAAATTTATCGATACCTTCTTTCACCATCGTCAGCCTGTCACAGTAAGTGGCAGTAGCTGGTAGACGTAAAGTCAACACGTATCCCTCCACCGGACGACACGAGCGTACAATGTGTTCTGGTTACCTATCGTTGTCTGACCTGTCGCCAGTGCTGTGCTTCCTCTGGCGGTCGAAGAACGGCACCGAGCCGTTCTTGGGTAAGCCCGGGGCTTGAGCGCTGAACGCCGGCGAAGAGACGTTACGCGACATCGGCTGGACGGCAACGGCTGAACCGTTCTCGGTCTGCGAACAAATAATAACATTAAAAAAACCGGCCAAGTGCGAGTCGGACTCGCGCACCGAGGGTTCTGAACAAATGCGTAGGTATATAAGCTTAAAATTATTAAAAATATTTTTATTATATGATGTAACTAAAAATTTATGCTTTTCGCAATTTTTCCTTTATCTATGCTATAATACGTTGCTTCGTACCAAATTTTAAGATTCTGAGTTCACGGTTCCGGTTTTGATTCCCTTGCGAATGTCAAAAATTTGCTTTTTACTAAATGCATGTGAAATGATATATAGTACTTATAACAAATATACAATTTCTTAAATTTTTGTCTGTCTGTCTGTTTGTTCCGGCTAATCTCCGAAACGGCTGGATCGATCCTGATGGGACTTCCACTGGCGGACAGCTGATGTTATAAGGAGTAACTTAGGCTATGTGGCGGCGCTGTCGTCACGCCACAAGCGAAACAAATCGAAGCCTAAATCGCGCTAACAAAGTTCCGAAATAAAAGCAGTATATAGAGATATATTATATAGAGAATAACTCCGACCTACCACTCGGAGCGTTGGCCGCTCCGAGTGGTAGGTCGGAGTGGTAGGCCGTTCCACAAGGAAGTTGTGCGAGGAAAAAAACTTCTTCTAAATCGCACAGTGGTGGACCGCCAATCATCCAGATTCCAGATGGTATCGCGACTTTTGTCGCGATGTGCGATGGTGAAATAGAGCAGCTGGAATTAATCCAATTAATTTCACAGAACACTCCCAGTGGTAGATGCGCTAAAATAAGCAAAGAGATACAACATCTCTTCGCAATGCCAGAGAGTCAAGCAGATCGGAAGGAACTCGTTGACGATTCGAGCTGCTCTACGCCAGATGTGGTCAAGTGGAAGGAGCTGGCACTGGGGGCCCCTGCGCAGAGATGGAAACAGTATTTCATGTGGGGCCGAATCTGCGCTTTGTATAGTTGCAAGCGGCATGAAATACTGTCCTGCTACTGAACACGTCAAGCCTTTTAGAGCCCAACTTGGCCTTCTCTTCCAACTGACCATGAAACTGCACATGACTCGATATGTCGACACCGAGGATTCTGATACTGGCTAAGGCAAGAAGGGGAGTGCTTTGAAACTAAGGAGATACGACAAAGGGGTTCTTTTTTAGCGGTGAACGCACAAACTTGTGTGTTTTTAGAGACCACAAACCGACCGAGACAACAAAGACTCGACTTCAGACACAAGTTTGTTCCGGTACTCTGCGACGTTTTCCCGAGAAATGTTGACACGGCCGGTGTATAAAGCATCACCAGTGCTGTCGTCTGCATAGCTATGAATGTTACCGGTTAGCAACATATCATTGATATGCAGAAGAAACAGCGTTGGTGACACGCAGCCTTGTGGAATACCACCATTAATAGGCTTGTAATCGGAGAATGCACCGTCTAGTACGATGTTGATGCTCCGATCTGCAAGAAAACTGGTGATCCACTTGCACAATTTCTCGGGAAGCCTAAAGGAAGGAACTTTGAAAGAAGCGCTTTATGCCAAACTCGATCGAAGGCCTTCGTAATGTCTAAACTAACGGCCACCGCCTCCCCCTTAGACTCTACTGCCTCCGCCCATCTATGAGTTAGGTACGCCAGAAGATCACCAGCTGACCGACCCCGACTGAAACCTCACGAGGTAGCAGTTTATGATGGTTTTCATTATTTTGGAGAACAAGGAGGTGATGGCGATCTGATCAGGGACGGATCTGAGCGGTCGCCTTTTTTAGGGATCGGGTGCACCAAAGCAGTCTTACATGGGTTCGGGACTAGACTAAGGAGTAGGAGTACCGGAAAAGACGCGTTAAAACCGGTGCCAACTCCGAAGCACATGTCTTCAGCACAATAGGAGGGATGGATTCAAATTCGGATTCGGACTCTACTTGTTGACGTCAAGGGAGAGGAGTGCTTTGCGCACTGAGCGCTGTGTAAACAGTAAACCCTGCATGGAGCACTCACAACGCGCGATGGTCGGCGGTGTGTTCCCCCGTCATCGAGTGCCTAGCAGATCTGTTTTCTCCTTGGTAACATGGGTCAGTGAGTCGTGTCCTCCTTGTGCAGAGATGAGAGAGATAGCTGACAGAAGTTACCTTGGACAACCTTGGCGAGAGACCAGAATGCACGAGTTCCTGAAGGAATTCGAACTAGTTTCTTGCCAATTCTGCCGATGTGCTCTGACTTTGCCTTAGCAATGACACTTTTGAAGGACCTGGAGGCGGAATTATATTTCTTTTTGAGATCGCTGGTATTTGCATGCGTCAGCCCAGGTCCGGTAGCACTCATGCTTATGGCGTGAAGCAATTTTACAGGAGCGACTTAAAAACAAAAAATAGAATTATAAATTAACTTTTTCCATGTCCCGTAAATCATATATGGATATTTTGATTATTTAACTATTGTGTCTATTTCGCAGACTTTTTATCGCGGTGCATATATATCACTTTAGAGCCATTTTGAAATTTAGCTCTATAGAGAGCTAATTATTAGGCGTTATCAATAAAAAAGAGTTTTTATGTAGAGATTTTCGATAGTACAAAACAAAACTAAATAAGAGATACAATTTTTCTAAATAAATAGTAAATACATAGTTACAACAAATTACCTTTTTAGGTTCACCATTATCGTCGACGACCTTCGCCTCAGTAATAGTGGGCAGCGTGGGCACCGGTGGTACACCCGGCATGTTGGGAACAGTTGGCACTCGCGCTAACGCTTCCAGGTTCAAAGAAGAGTGCACGCCTGGGTCAATATTCAAGGGTGCCTGAAAGAAAAGAAAGTATTTATTTACTAATTTCGTAAGTCGTAATCAACAGTGTAAGTAAAACAATTCACTGCACTACGAAATCGATATCAAAGCAATCCAATAAATTTATTGGGATATTTTAAGAATAATTATTGTGTTATTTAAAAAAAACACTTTAACTGTTAAGGTTGATGATAAGGTTGAATTTATATTGGGACCACCGTGTAAGTATTGTTCCATCGGTAATCAAAAAATAGCCTTATCAGTGTATTATACACATTAGAAAGGGCATGCAGTTGAATTGATAGCTTCCTCATTTCTTGAAGTCCGTTAAAAAGCTCTGTATATATAGTTATGTTATAGTGACAAGAACTACAAAAGTAAAAAATAAATATTTATATTACCTTCAATCGTTTCTCCATAGTGCCATCGGGTAGTTGCACTACGAAGTATGAGCCTCCTATAGAGCCTCTTTCCATTTGCAGTCTTTTCTCTTCGGCCATTCGTTGCAATAAGGGTTTTTCGCCTGATGTCTGAAAGATTATAATCGAATAATGTAGAAAATATTCAAATGTTATTTTAACTTATTGGCTTCTGCCCGTATATAAACGCTTTCATGTGCATTTTACTAATAACTAATAATATATATTTCTTATTAACTTTTATATTCCCCACAGCAAAAATGCATCTAATGGGTTAACCCAGTATTTAATAATGATTTAATTTATTCGATTATTTTTTATATACACGACCGTTGTAGGGCCTTAATCACCATGTTTGACAACCGCAGTAGCAGAAGGCTCGCGCCTTTAATGCTGCTCCTCGTCCTATTTAACTTCTGGCGTATACGAGATGGTAATACCACCGTCTATCAGAAGCCATGAGGTCTTTCTAGCATTTTCTAGTCGACTCTTACGACACCCACGAGATGGTTTGTGGTAGTGAATTCTTTCACGCCGCCACGGTACTAAGTGCTCTGCTGAAAACCTAGTACTTTTAATGTCAACAGCAACAACTTAATTTTTATATGTACCTAATCATTGTCACTTTCTCTTAATTAAGATTTTAGGCAATCTGATCTAATGAAGATGATAGGTTAAATATGTTGTGGAATGTGTAGGCTCTTACTAATGAATAAAAAAACATTCCATAATTAATACAAAGTTGATTGATTTAATGTGTGCTCGTAAATTTCTTTGTCCTGTTTTTTTTTAGACGAAAGTTTATCGACCAAATTGGCGATAAATTGAAAATGGGCCAGATTAGGAGTACCCATAACCTACGAGCGTGTATGCATAGGTAAATGGATGTAAAGGAAGCGAGAGAGGTGTGTCAGGATCGTGCCAAAAGACGGTAGTCTCTGCCTACTCCTTTGGGTGACAGGTGTGAGTGTTTATGATTATGATAATAAGAGTGGGCAAACAGCATGCTCACTTGATGTGTAAAATTAAAAAAAATAACCTCATTTCTTTTCATTAACTTACTTTCGGATACACCAAAGGCCGCATTAGCGCACCGAATACGGCACAGTTCAATATAAGACCGGCGAGCAGAAGGTTCGCGTTTTGCCACGAACCGAATTCTCTAAGCAATATGGCGGCTAGCGGTGCAAAGCTGAACGTTCCAACTCCAGAGCCGCATACAGCTATACCCGTGGCGAGGGAACGACGGGTTTCGAAGTAGTAGCCTACTGCTACCACAGACGGAAGGTAGATCATACCGAAGCCTATACCTGTAAAAGGAAAATTGTCTTATAAATAATAACTAACGCTAAGTTATATTTTTTGTGTGATTTAATTGTTACACTACCTATACTTTGTGTTTTAACCGAGTTCAAAAAACGAGGAGGTCGTATAATGGATATGTTTTTATGTATGTTCACCGATTTCTCAATAGCAGATTTTATAAAAAATTAAGCATGGCCTATCTGCATACACAACGACAAACAAAAATCTTGTCCTTATGTAGTTTATTTTTGAAATTTCAACCAGTTTGTGCAAGTGCCATTGCGGCATAGCCCTGTACAAGTAGCGAAATTACGGAGATCGATATTATAATTTTATATTATAATTTTTTGTTTGTATTTGTGTAATCACAGACTGTATATGTGATTGCTTTATAATATTATATACTAATGCAGAGTTTGTTAAATCTTAAGTTTAGTTCAGGTCGGATATTTTAATGCATTGTCAGCTACTTTGACTTCTTTAAGGACTAGTGGAGAAATTTATATTTTTGGAGAAAGATCAACGACGTGTTAATCTAGTCCTCCTTCGTACGCAATCTCAAGTGTAGATAATGTTTTAGCCCATTACCAATACATCATCATATAACTAAATTATATCAAATTTTCTGCTTACAATTTATGATTTTTCTATTTCCGAATTCACCCCTAACTTTTGCACCAATAATGTAAATTGCGGTGTTAATTCTTATAGTATCTAAAGCACTAGTCTCAGAATCAGGATCATACTCACAGACTCTAGAGAGAGCTTTAATTATAATTCTGATATACTTATCACTTTGTATGCTTGAATTGAATGACGACTTTTTTGTGTAGAAAACATCAATACACGGTTTATAGTCCACGGGCCCACATACAAGGGATTTCAGTGATTAATAACAGGCTGAAAGTTTATACACAGCTTCGTTTTGACGAGACACCCAAATTTTATCATTGGACCAAATTCTGATAGTGGGAGGAAAAAGCGCGATAGGGAGCGAAACACGTCGATTTGAAGAGGTCCCAAATTAAATAATAACAGTTTCTAAAAATCAATACTTCGAGAAAATACGATGGAAAATTGAGAAAAACTTGTGGCATACAAAGTGAGTGGTACCTTCCGAGTGACCCCCAGCTCTAACATGTCAGAATAGTGACTTGAAAAAATTTATTAATAACAAGCTGATTTTTGTTTTGGGGCTTGAAAAATATATATTTTTTATAAAAAATGCATCGGCATACAAATTTGTTGGTAATTTTTTGAGACCTACACTAGAAAGTTGTCAAGATTATGTTAATCTTTTTTTGATTAATAACAACTTCTTTTTCAATTTATTCTGTTAAAAATCAAACGTATAACACCATGAAACTATTGGCATACAAAAAAAATGGAAGCGATTAATTACAAATGAACTTTTCAAAATTTTAAAACAAATTAAATCTTGAAAACATAATATATTGAAGTCCTGTACATAATTTTCACCAGCTTTTGTTGGAAATTGCTCAAATGGAAAATTCGTATACAATATTACAGCTTATTTAATGAAAATGAATATTATTTTTTAAATTACTTAATTATATAAACAATTACAGCAATAAAAACAAGGGAATTGCATGAAAATTTGCTGAAATTTCTTGTAACGAGTGATTGAGCTATTGAACTACTTATTAAGTGGCGAAGCTTGCGAAGTCACTTATTGATTTCACGATGTCTGTCCGTCTGTCCGTCTGTCCCACGATTATCTCGAAAACGGTTTCGAATTTTCAAATTCTGTTTTCAGCAATCGATTACTGATCACCCAGGCATCTGAACCTCCTATTTTGAAACTGATTGCTCAACGGCAACCGTTAGAAACCGCTACAAAGCTGATTGCTTCGCCACTTTGCTATGCTGTTAGCTTGCTAGGTTTATTTATTTTATTATTCAGTTAACAACAATTTTTAAGTGATAGTCAAGTAAGGAAAAAATCATTGTTTTGTAAAACAAATTGTAAAATAATTTATCGTCTATAAAAAAAAAATAGTTCTGAAGTTCGAAAAATGCATATTTATAACTCGTGTAGGTACTTAAAAATTAATATAAATTACAGTCTTTTCTTTATACTTTCTTTATAATTTGAATCTATAATTCATAATCGAATTAAAAGTAATATTTTTATTTTATTATATTAACAAATTAAAAATATTTACCTAAAATACATATACCTAATACAAGTTTGTAGCAATAATTTTTTCTCTAAAATTTTTTTGCAGTGCCTTATAAAAAAAATAATATGCTGAACGGTGTGATTTTGCCTCAGGTTGTAAGACCCACTATCCCCTCCGATCGAAAGAAATTTATGCTTTGTGCAAGTAAAGTTCTGATAATACACTCAAAATACAAGCTTTTATTTTTATAACATTAGTTTAATACAAATGAAACCAGTGGTTACAAGACATAACTACGGAGCACATATTAAAAGATTCGATTTTTGTTTTTTAGGTTAACCAAAAAAATACCATTTTTTTGTAGGTCACTATATATAATTCAGAATTAAGTAAATAATTATAAATTTTTCGTGGCATACGGTTATTAATCAAAAAAAGATTAACATAATCTTGACAACTTTCGAGTGTAGGTCTCAAAAAAAATTACCAACAAATTTGTATACCGATGCATTTTTTATAAAAAATATATATATTTTGCAAGCCCCAAAACAAAAATCAGCTTGTTATTAATAAATTTTTTCAAGTCACTATTCTGACATGGTAGAGCTGGGGGTCACTCGGAAGGTACCATTCACTTTGTATGCCACAAGTTTTTCTCAATTTTCCATCGTATTTTCTCGAAGTATTGATTTTTAGAAACTGTTATTATTTAATTTGGGACACTCATCAAATCGACGTGTTTCGCTCCCTATCGCGCTTTTTCCTCCCACTATCAGAATTTGGTCCGATGATAAAAGTTGGGTGTGTCGTCAAAACAAAGCTGTGTATAAACTTTCAGCCTGTTATTAATCACTGAATTCCCTTGTATGTGGGCCCGTGAACTATTACAGTTACACAGGTTTGAATTAAATAGCTGCGTTCGGATGTTCCACTTATGGAATTAGGAATGAACACCGGAATTTTTATTTCGAAATAGGCAACAGTAATCATTTTAATATTAAATGAACCCGTTTAAACTAGGCAAGACACATTATTAAATTGGATTTAAGCAAAGTAACACCTGATTCATTGATAATTATTAAAATTTCTGTGAACAAAATGAACTGTTACATCGCTAAGTAAACATTTTTTAATTAACTGTGGCACTGAATTTTTAATCTTAATTCTTTCTTTCTATTTTTGTTTTAACGTTACCTCCACACTAGCATTTTCTCTTGTATCGTGGGGGCAGTTAACAATACATTTTCACAAGGACAAACATCCAGACCCGGAACAATTATTTGTAGGCCATACAAATATTTGATTCGTGCGGGATTCGAACCCACGATCCTCAGCGCCGCAACTCATTGCTATATATATATATATATATATACTACAAATAATTGTTCCGGGTCTGGATGTTTGTCCTTGTGAAAATGTATTGTTAACTGCCCCCACGATACAAGAGAAAATGCTAGTGTGGAGGTAACGTTAAAACAAAAATAGAAAGAAAGAATTAAGATTAAAAATTCAGTGCCACAGTTAATTAAAAAATGTTTACTTAGCGATGTAACAGTTCATTTTGTTCACAGAAATTTTAATAATTATCAATGAATCAGGTGTTACTTTGCTTAAATCCAATTTAATAATGTGTCTTGCCTAGTTTAAACGGGTTCATTTAATATTAAAATGATTACTGTTGCCTATTTCGAAATAAAAATTCCGGTGTTCATTCCTAATTCCATAAGTGGAACATCCGAACGCAGCTATTTAATTCAAACCTGTGTAACTGTAATAGTTCACGGGCCCACATACAAGGGAATTCAGTGATTAATAACAGGCTGAAAGTTTATACACAGCTTTGTTTTGACGACACACCCAACTTTTATCATCGGACCAAATTCTGATAGTGGGAGGAAAAAGCGCGATAGGGAGCGAAACACGTCGATTTGATGAGTGTCCCAAATTAAATAATAACAGTTTCTAAAAATCAATACTTCGAGAAAATACGATGGAAAATTGAGAAAAACTTGTGGCATACAAAGTGAATGGTACCTTCCGAGTGACTCCCAGCTCTACCATGTCAGAATAGTGACTTGAAAAAATTTATTAATAACAAGCTGATTTTTGTTTTGGGGCTTGCAAAATATATATATTTTTTATAAAAAATGCATCGGCATACAAATTTGTTGGTAATTTTTTTTGAGACCTACACTCGAAAGTTGTCAAGATTATGTTAATTATTTGTAGGCCATACAAATATTTGATTCGTGCGGGATTCGAACCCACGATCCTCAGCGCCGCAACTCATTGCTATATATATATATATATTGTCAATTATATCTACATTTTGACTAAAATCTATAAAATGCAACAAATAAAAAAAATAGCTTATTTATATTAAATACATAGTAACCCATTTTACCAATATGTTACCACTGTACGTCGTTTTCTTACCGAAGCTATGTAGCAGGCGGGCAAATTTATGTTTTAGACCATGTTAAAATAAAATAAAAAATTACAAGAGCCTATCAAGATGGCACTTTGTTTGACCTAATTTTTACAGCGTTAAAGCAAGCGGCGCTAGCTCGTCAAAAAGTGTGATTAAGCTGAGACTTGCTTACACTTTATGAGCAAAATACTAAATTAATTTAGTATTGAAGAAAAAAGTATCAGCCATTTTTATTTATTATTTTTAAATTTGTCTAATGCGTGTTGTAGACTTTACGTTTTCGGAAAAAAAATTAATTTCTTAGTAGACCCCCAAGATGTTTTCCTTCATCAATTTCAATGAACAGTTTAAATGATGCCAGTGAAGATCGAACTCAGGTTTAGTCGCGTTCAGTGATATTGTAAAAGGCAAGAGCTAAGCATCATGTCAT